ACTCCTGGCTTTATGATTGATTTCTCTTTAATGACTGAAAATATTTCTGTCTAAAAAATAAGTTAAAATCATGTTGATTTTTATAAACAGTCCACACTTTGAGGAAAGAAAATAAGTTCAGCAGAGACAGTATTAACAAATTCTACATTTATAAAATGAATTGTGACTTTTTGAAAATTCTTGTCTATCACTATTTTTATTTCATGTTAGTTTTGACTGGAATACTCTGTATTGCTTTTGATGATGGGAGCTAGTTGTATTGTTCGAATATCACCTTAGCATTTTGAGTTAAATTTCTGCTGTTAAGTTAACCAGGGATTTCTTTGAAAATGAAAAATGGGAACTTGGTCAGTGCCAAGGAAATATTGTATCATTCACCAATCTTAGTTATCTAATTTTTCTCCCTGTTTAACAGTTGGAGAACATATGGGGATGATCTGGACAGTGATCTGGATTCGAGAGCTGAAAAATGATCTGTAATGTTTTTATATAGCATACAGTATTTCCCACATAGCCATTTTTGGTTATGTATGATATGAACACAGCCTTAGATTCATTGATTATTTCTTTGATGTGATATATGCAATCTGCTTGAAGTGCTTCTCTTGATTCTGTGAAAGAAATATGGAACAAACTTTGGGGAAAAAGAATACATTTGACATCATCACTCAAGTTTTATATCAGGACTCAAAACAGGGGCAAAGTAAAATCAGCACATTTCAACACCCCAGTACACCCTTAAGCAGACCTCAAACTGACTTGTTTCAGAAAAATAGAACTTTTTAAAAGCACTGTTAAGCAAGAAATATATCAAACACATAAACCATACTTGTTGGACTCTTCCTGGATCTGCAATGAGCAATCTAATTGAACTTGCTGGAAAGGTTTTATTTACTTGTACATATTGATTATCCCTGGCAGCTTTCTTTGTTCATTGTCTCATTTTTTTTATAAGTATTCCTTCTTTCATAAGCCAAAGCTATATTTTCTGGACAATCTATACATTATTTCCTAACATATTTCTATCTGTATTTTTATTTAGCATATCTTCTCTACTATGCACCCTAAGTACACACACTTCATATATTTCTGAGTTGATAAGATGTGAACAAATAGTACAATGCTTGCAAACTCAAAAACATAGCTTTGATAGTATGATTTTAGCATACATGGGGTAAAACTGGACTTTGCTTGCAAGTAAGTCCAAAATGTGCCAAAACTGATTGATACTCTATCTAGCAAGTAATGTTGCATATGGCAAGTATTTGAGATAAATAAGTATTTGACAGCCTGTACGCTTACTGGCCAATGAAAATTAAGTAAACATTGTACAGTAGTCATTTCTCAAATCTGTATAATGAGTTTATATTACTTTGGAGAGAGATAATCTGAAAAGAAAAAATAAAATTATTTAAAAAACATAGAAAACTTGTAATGTAATTTTTTTTTAATCAAGGGCAAATTTTAAAGCCTAGTCCTTCTTGCCTCTCTTCCAGCAATTTCTGCTTTTTTGTTTTAAAATCTGTTTTCCTTCTTACCACAAACAAAAAGATTGTGAGTAATCTACCCTCATAAATAAATCAGAGCATGCTTTTGCCACTTTTATGCAGATTTAAACCCAGATTTAAATGATTCAGGAAATTTGCTGCTTGACTGGCATGCAGATTATCCACAGTATTCTGTGAAGACAGGTTGGTTTCTTAAGACCTAATCTAACATTTCTGTCTTATTAATATACATAAGGAAGTGAAGATTCAGATTTGGTTAAGGCTAAAAACACGAATTGGTATGGGATATTGAAAAAAAAAGTTAGATAACTTGAATAGATGGGTTTGAACAAGATTATAGAATACAGAAAATGTCTGGACTATTTAGAGACCTAAGGATGAATGATAATGGTGATAGTTCAATGAGGATCTGCTTAGGAAAAAAGTCTGTTTTAAACTTAGTCTTATATTACACATGGCAAAGTAATAATTCTAAAATTAATGTGATTGTTTATGATGAAAGATTAGAATATATATAGTCCTCACTTAACAATGGCCCTGTTGAGCAACCATTTCTAATTATAACGATGCTGAAAAAGTAAATTTAGGACTGGTCCTCACACTTGCAACCATTGCAGTGTCCCATAGTTATACGATCAGTATCCGTGTACTTTATAGCCAACTTCCAACAAGCAGAGTCAATGGAGAATCCAGATGTAAAATTGCAAGTCACGATCATGTGATGTTTCACTTAACAACCATGTCGCTTAGTAATGGAATTGTTGGTCCCACTTGGGGTTGTTAAGCAAGGACTATATAATTTCTGAGAGATATAAGGGTGAGGGTTTCTAAATGTGGGACAGATTATTGTTTAGTAGTAAATCTTGGGGGGAAATGAAAGTGATAGGCTTGAATTATGGATTGTTGATTGGACCTCCGAAGGATAGAAGGCTGAATCAACTTTGAGCTGGTCAGGATCAAACTCAGGCTGTGAGCAGAATTATCCTGCAATACTGCATTCGAACCACTGAGTCACCATGGCTCCTTAATAAACAGGGAATTCTTGTGGTGATAATAGAAATATGTTGCTAGGGAATATGGATATATGCACATGCTTTTGTATGTTGATGAGGCTGTGTTGACCCTAATGCTTTTCAGCAAATGTTAGCTAGATTATATGATATATCAAGATGGATTTAAACATTAATGTTTTGAAGACCAAGATACTCCAGCAGGAACAGTAGAGTAAATGATTGCCAAATGAATAAATAGGTTAATTTGTGTACTTTGCTGTATGTTTACTAAAGATGGAAAAATAGATGAAGACATTTTGAGATATGCAAATACCGATGAAAATGTATGAGTACTATGTTATCTGTTGCAAGTAATGTTTATTAAAATAAGTGAAATAGCTTATTATACACAGCTCATCCTAGCTGTGTGTAAGAGTGCTTCTGCCCATTTTTAAAAATATGGAAGTGAGAGTTTGGCATATCAAAATAAATATGGGATCTTAAACAAAGCTTGGCTACTTTAAGCTGTTGCAGGCAGATACCAGGTTTGCCTTACTGATCTTTCCAGAGTTCCTTTGAAATTGCACAGCATGTATTCCACAGCATTGTTTTTGATGTGGACAAGACAGTAAGCAGACATGAGCACTCTAAAGGGAGGGAAATGGTTCGAAGACAAACAAAAGTGATAAATGTGAAACTATTGCTGTCTCTTTCCAACCAGAAAGCATACTGGAGCTCATGTGATTTCCCTCTTAGTGACTACTTTACTTAACAGTGGAGATGCCAGTGTAGTTAGGGTCATCAAGCGGGGGGAAAAAACTGTTTTAGGAAAAAAACTACATCAAAAAGTTTCAGGGAATTTTAAAAGATCTCAACAAGCACAATATTTTTCAGCACATTATACTTAATGAATGTGCCTACAAGTACTTTGTTTTTTGCATACTGCAGTTTGCATTTGCAAACTGTCTTCCTCTTCCTTTCCTCCATCTTTCCTCTTCCACACCTTAGTCTAAATCAGACATGTCAAACACAAGGCCTGGGGGTCGGATGCAGCCCGCAAAGTGGTTTCATGTGGCCCGCGAAGCCATCCTGGAAACAGTGAGGTTACAGCTCCCACTGCCTTGGCCCTGGCCCAGGCCGGCCGGGAGCCAATGTACAATTTTGTGGTGGCCATCTATGCTGAAACGCATTTAGTCTTAGCTCCACAAGGCCGTCTGGAAACAGCGAGGAACCAGCCCCTGCCGCGTCGGCCCCACTCCCTGGGTGCATGCTGGGGAGGTGTCACCGTTTGTGAGGAATGAAGAAATGCACTATTGCCTGGAAGTGGCCAGCAAATGTCCCTCACCTACTTCACATATCCGGCTTGATGGGCTCTGGGGGAGGGGTTTCAACAGGCAGCAGGGTGCTCTCCTCACAGCACTGAGAGGCTGAGCCGGGCGGCGCAAATCCCAAAAGAAACGCGAGGTTGCCCAGCTCCCAGCCTGCCCGTTTCAGCAGGTAGTGGGGTGCTCTCCTCAAAGTGCCAAGAGCTGAGCTGGGTGGCGCGAATCTGATGAGAAGTGCAATGCTGCCTAGCCCCCAGCTTGCCCAGTTTCAGCAGGCAGCAAGGTGCAAAGTTGGCGAGCTTCGCATCGCCCAGCTCAACCTCTCGGCACTGTGAGGAGAGCGCCCCGCTGCCTCCTGAAACCACGCCCACCCAGTAGGCCACACACCCCCGCCCCTCCGAGGGCAACCGCAATGCTGATGCGGCCCTCAATGAAATTGAGTTTGACACCCCTGGTCTAAATCATACATGAGTCTCCCCAGTGATGGTGACCCTTTTGGGCTTGGCATATCACACATTTGGAAAAAGCCTAACTTGACTCTGCTAGCATGTCACACACTCCCCCACCCTGCGACAACAAAAGAGAAACAATTCTCTGTCTCCCTCCATCTAGGCCACCCTTAACAGTGGCACTCAGCAGCAGCTCTGAGGCTGGGCCTGAAGGACCTTGATTTCAGCCCTAGCGTCATCACTGCTACTCAAAAAGGTGCATGAACTTTGGGGGAATGGTATGATTGTCCAGTGGCCCAGCACTCCCCAGGATCTACCACACTGCTTACCTTTAAGTGATGATCTTTCTGTTAACAGGTCCCTACCGCCTTTATCATACAAGTCCTTTTTCTTGAAGCGGCTTTGGAGAATGCTCTTCTGTGGCTTCTGCAGCCTTCAAAAATTATGTGAAAGGACACCCCATTTTTGTACAATTTTCTGAGGGTCCAGGGGCTGCACAGTCTTTGAAAATTATGTGAGGATGAAAATTGTCAGAAGTTGGTGAACACTGCCATAAATAGTGATGTGTCAGCTTTGACACATGTGTCATATATTTGCTTTTACAGCCATGCTATACATCTGATGAAGTGAGCTGCAGCTCATGAACACTTATCTTTTAATAACATTTGCTAGTTGGAAAAGATGCTACCAACCTCCTGATTTTTGACTGCAGAAATACAAAAATCTCCTTTGTATCCTGAGAATTTTAGAGATTATGCAAAGAATTTTATTGTTTGCAGGCAAATCTTAAAAAATCTTCAATGAGTGAAATACTCCAGATGACTTTATAAATATATCCAGAATTTTTTTTAGTAAAAGAATGGTAAGAAAAAAAACCACCCCAAAACATAGAAAAATAGTATGTTTTTTTTATTATGAAAGAGTCAAGTTTTATGTAGGCTAGGTCTGTTGGCAGTTTCACACTGGATATCCCAGTATACATAGATTTCCCTTCCCTGTTTGAGTAAGCTCTCTGTCAGGAAGATTTCTCACCCATCAGTTCTCTGAGACACGTCACTGTCCTCTTTCATCTGGATTGATTCTTCTGTTTTGTGTGCTTTACCTTGTCTAAAATGCAGGGTAGAAAATTTGCCTTTGTCTTTCTTTGCCCTTGTTATGTTGTGCTAGTTGTCCCTTCTTCGTAAATTCTGTGACCTCCTCCAATACATCTGTTTGAAGAAGTGATTTCAGCTCTTGAAGTTTGTGTTCCATTCTTTCTTTCACTATCTCAATTGTAAAATTATCTGCCTTATTCTTTCATTGAGAAGAGAGACCAGGTCACCTTAAACAGTCCCATTTGTTTATTAGAGTCCAGCTTTTCATACAATCAGTAATTGGAGCATCACTTATAAACATCACAAAAGTCTGCTGAATGGTAGTGGCCACTCCACAACTCTGCCCTAGTTTGTGGCTGATGGTGTATATAAAGCTCAAATGGGCACACTTCCATATCCATCCAAGTTTCAGGTTACAGGTCATCCTTGACTTACAATCATTCGTTTAGTGACTGTTCGAAGTTACAGCGGCATCAAAAAAAGTGACATATGACCGTTGAAGTGATATACCCTTCCCTTTTTTAAGCAAATAGTTCATTATATAAGAAGGTAGTATTTTTCTTCTTAAGTATATATATTTGTAAGTTAGTATACTATTGTATTTACTAGTTTATTATATAAATGTATAAAGTAGTTTAAAAATGATTATATAAAGTATTATATTAAAATTATTTTTAAAAGGTTGGTTAATGGCAGGATTATTATAAGTGAGACTTCAGATAAGCAACATAATTTTGGATGCTGGGTAAAAATTGAACTGTAAATATAATTTGGTTAGTGTGTACAATTTTCACACTGAATAATTAATCTGTTGAATTTGACTTGAAGTAAATTATTGAAGTAAAATATTTTGCAGGTTCAGATTTAGCTTTCTATGCTAATAAAGTTCAAAATAATACTGATAACTTACAAGGTATGTGTATGTATTTCTGTTAGACATTTCAGTGAACATTTATCTTTATGTTATAGGTGAAGTAATAGAATGTGGAGCAACAAAGCAAATGAGTTTCCCTTACACAATCCAAAGTTCCCCCAAAACAGGAATTCCACCAGAGGTACACATTTATTTAATTTTTATCTCACTGGGTGCAAAGAATTTTATCTGACTTTCTAAATTTTAACAGAACAGAAATTTGTGTTAAACTGAAATGATATCCGTTGGGAAGAATGATCAGATAACAAGATCTGCTTTCCTTATTCCCTAACTTCTGCTAGCAAACATTCTGGTTTCTATTTGCAAATTTGTTAATGAAAGCTAAATAATAAAAAAAATAATAATCAACCTGAATCACAGACCAAAATCTGACAACAGTGATGCAATGCAGGCTGGTAGATATTTCTAGATTTCCCAGTGTAAGATTCAAATTCACCCAAGTAGCTTCCATGCTGAAAGGGAGACTAGAACTTGGATCTCTGCTCCTAGCTCCTAATTCAGCCTCTTAACTACACCATACTGGATAAAGGCTAAATTGAATGTTAAATTTGCAATTAAAATTGCTACAAGTAGTAAATATAACTTAATGGAAGATACATATTTGAAATAAAAAAAACCTGTCAACTGCCCTACAATTAGACAAAACATGGGAATTATAAAAGAATTGTCTATAGAAACTGTAGTGAGAAGTGGGGTCATCCCGGCTGGCCAGGCACTGAAGCCCCGCTGAAAACAACGGAATCTATGTGTGCACCTGCCACATGCTCGCCCAATGTCAGCCATGCTGTCCATGCCTCGGATCAGCTGCAGCACGCCATGGAGAGCACGGCTACCGTGGGGTGAGCATGTGGCAGGCAGGCACACGGACTCTGCTGTTTTTGGTGCCTGGCCGGCTGGGATGACCCCACTCCTCACTCAGCCACTTTTCCTCTTTCTTCTCCCTCCTCCCCCTTCCCTCATGCCGGCAGCTCCACTTCCCGTCTCTTCATTGCAGCACACATTGCAGCCTGGAATCCACTTTGGCAGCGGTGGGGTTTGGGGGATGGTGAATCCCATTCATGGTGTGTCCGCCAACCAATCACCATGCTGCCTCGGGAGGGCAGCGTTAGCTGCCAATGCAGCGGTGGGGAAGGCAGAATGTAATCCCATCCACCAGACCAGCCTGGCAGGAGTGGGATGGGGTGGTAAACTGAGTGGTGCTGAAAACAGTGCTCAGAGCCTCCAGGTGCTGCGGGGATCCGCATGCGCCCTTTGCAGTCGTCCTCCTGCCCAACATTGCAATGGGTTTATGTGTGCGTGCATCGGTGGCTTCTTAGGCACATCACAGCAGAGGCAGAAGGGGGGGGGGGAGAGGCACGCAATCCTGCCTGCCAAAAACACAGTGGGATGGAGTGGGCGAGGTCTTAAGTAGGGCTTATTTTGGGGGTAAGACTAGGGCTTATTTTCAGGGTAGGTCTTACTTTCAGGGAAACTCGGTATTGTTCTAATGTCTCCTGCTTGATTGGTGTACCTCTTGCTACCAGAGGTTGCCAGTGTGGTATATAGGCATACCTTGGAGATACTGTGGGTTTAGTTCCAGATCACTGCAATGAAGCCAATATCTCAATAAAGTGAGCCATGTGAATGTTTTGATTTCTCAGTGAATATTTAAGTTACATTTACACTATATTGTGATCTATTGTCTGCAATAATATGTCTAAAAATATTATACCTTAATTAAGTGATACCTTAATGCTAAAAAATGTTAATCAGCATCAGAGTCTTCAGTGAGTTGTAATTTTTTTTCTGGTGGATGGTCTTGTAAAAAAAAACCACTAAAATATTTGTGAAGTGCAATAAACTAAAGCATAATAAAATGAAGTATACCTATATTTTGTCATCTTGCTCATTGACTCCCAATCTTCCCAATGTTTTTCATTTTTTTACTTCTCCAGTTCCACTCAGCCACTGCTGCTGCTACCAATGTTTGCAAAACAAAACAGGAAAGAGCCTTTTGTGGCCCGTACAGGCAGCAAGCAGGCCCTCCCTTATATCACAATTGCCATGGGAAGTGGTTATCCATCTATTTTTTCCTACTCAATCTTGGCATTTTCTTGCCCATCATCACAAAAACACTTTATCTTGGGACAACCATATTTTGTTTTGTATCTGAATCAATGCTTCTGAAACATACATATCTCAGTTTTGATGTAAACCACCTGAAACAAGCTGTTCTATATACAAAATCATTTTGTGCGTGAACCATTTTGTTTTGCCCTAGATTGGGTTCATACAACATAGTAACCCCAAACCAGATAAACGTACATTATGGCTTATTGTGATGTGTAAATCTGGCCACAGTCAAGTAAGTATATTCAGAGAAAAAATATTGTAAATATATTGTTTTAAACAGTATTTAAAACTATTACTGAACCTTGCAATATGTTTATCACAAAGGTGATCCTTAAATTTATTTAATAAGTGCTTCTTTTCATTTTTTTGTACAGATTTAACAACAGAATGGGATGCTTTTTCACAAACAAAGACAGCAGTAAGTAGTATTTTAGCATTGAACAGGCCTGTCATTTAGAACAGGCCTGTCATTTAATTTGATTTTAGCATAGAAATTATTTATTTATTATTGTGGTTTTTAGTATCGCCTGTTCACCGCCCTGAGTCCCGTAAGGGAGATAGGGCGGTATATAAATTTAATAAATAAAAAAAATAAATATATAAATTTAATAAATAAAATTGAGTTAAATTGAAAAGAAGCCATACAGGAGACTGTGTATTTAAAAATGAAAAATATTAACTGTTATGCTTACCTTGGAAATGTTATAGGACAGTAAAAGATTAAGATGCTTTTTCAGTAAAATACAATCACTATCCTCCTAAAATGCACCTAGGAGTCAGCCACCCACTAGTTTGTCCTATCTAGACACTGAGCTGTTTCTTATGATCCTAAGATTCCCAAAATCAGGAAGCTACTGTCTTAATTCCAACAGACACTCTCTCCTCTTGTGTATACAGTTGCTGAAGTGTTTTCCTTTTTCTTCCTTCCTTGTTTCTGTCAATCACCCAGATTTTAATGCTAGTTCTCTGAAAATGCAATTGATCTGCTAAGCTAAGGCAACTCTTCTCAATTCCTAATATGCAGTTTGCGTTTACAAAAAAATTACTGTTAAGGAATTTTCCCAGAGTTTTCCAATATAATGAATTTGATGTGTTTGGTCTGATACATCAAATTTTCATTTATCATTCTGTTTTTCATTCATTTTCTTTTTTTGGGGATTGAAAAAATGTAATATAAATTGTTTCCTGCAATGAAAATTGTTGCATTAATGTGGAAAGTTGTATTGTGTGAAACTATTTTTGATTGTACAAAAGTGAAATTAAAATCTGAGCTCATTTTACTTGGGTTAGGGAATGTTTCATCCAATTTTTGTAAGCCTTTTTTTTACTTTTTGTTTTTTTAAGTGGCGGTATAACAAATTTAAAATGTTGATACCTTTCCTATCCCATTCAATCTATCTAGTTGCAGCATATTGAGAACAAATTGGAAGTAGCTCCTATTAGCATAGCCGGATTGGATTCTGTCATGGAAAAAAAGCCATCAATTAGTACTACCAGGAAAATAAGCAGGAAAGGTATGTATTAAGGCCTTTTCAAAAATGAGCTTTCAGTTGCTTAGCATTTTTAAATGGAGCATTTTTGGTCTGCAACCAGCAAAATCAGTAAATTACAAATGGCAAAATTTGAAAGTTTTGTTTGGGAAACAGAATTCCTACGTGACGGCTGGTGGGGTATCTTAAGTTCTTGCAGTGAAAAAGTTCTGCGTTGAAAATAATTATGGATGCTGCTATTGCTGATATGTGTGTGAAGAATAAGAAGAGATGATTTCTTGTTTTTGTAACCAGAGGTTTGCCTTCATAATATTTCCAGTGGTGGTGCATTTTGTTATTAGTGTTATGCGGTGCATCATTTTAATTTAGAACAAAGTGCTTTGGGTACAGTACATAGTCGTAAATTTATTCCAGCAGTGCTACATAAACATCCCATCATCATCCTCTTCATTCCATCACCATCACCACCTTTTCCACTCTGCATCATTAACCTTTCTACTGCAGCCCTGGGTGTGCTCTCGACCCCCCCCCATTAAATATAATCCTTGGCCGTGACAAAATTGTCTCTGTTTTATAGACCTAAGCTTTTGGGCAGCAATTACTTTAGGCCAGATATCCTCAGGATTGTTATTGTTGTTACACCATGATGGTATCTCTCAGGAACTGTCAGAACTGTTTTTGTTCTCCTTAATGAAATTGTTTTTTAAAATTCCCCTTTTCGCTTCCTCTCATTTTTTCTTTCTTCATTTTGTCATTTTAGATATTTCAGGAATAAGGATGCCTTTTGTGATTTTTTCCCCATATCAAGTGTCTTTCTATTATAAGTTTTTGTCTATAAATCAAATTTTCTGGTGGTGACATATTGCAAAATTTAGTTTATTTTGTAGGCATTTACAAAACAGACCAAAAGAAATAAGTCACTAAAACTGAGGCTAATATTATAGAAGAAAACAATTTGAGTAACATAGTTGTTAAAAACTGATCAGAGAGAGAGATGACTTAATTTATATTGAAGATTTTACATAAAGTAAAAAATCTAAACAAAAAGACAAAAATGTGCCAGACAAAAATTAAGAAAGAAAAACAAAGTTAAATGTCTATGGAGATTCTCAGTCCTCCAGGTCATAGTTACCCAAAGATGCTTTTCCACGAGGCAACTGGAATTTTTTTTTGTTTTTCTTTGAAGACATTTTGCTTCTCATCCAAGATGCTTCTTCAGTTCTCCACCATCCAGTCAGAGCTGAAGAAGCTTCTTGGATGAGAAACGAAACGTCTTCAAAGAAAAACAAGAAAGTCCAGTTACCTTGTGAAAAAAGTTATGAAATATAATGACTTCCAACCTCTTCAGTAGATACTGCTATTAACAAACCTATCATTTCTTCTCCCTCTTAACTCTTCCAGAAATCTCTTCATCCCCTTATTTAATTCTCATCTGTTTAAATCATTAAATACATACATCATTTTGTTGTTTTCTTCTTTTAGAAAAATGTTTATAGAAGATTTCCATTCTTTTAAAAATATTTTTTTCTCTCCCTTTTGCCATTCCCATGAGTTCTGACATTTTTATGATCCATTCTTCCACTGTAGGAATTTCAATAGTCTTCCATTTTTGTGCATATAATAATCTTGTCATTATTAATATATACAAACTTAGTCTTCCATGAGTCTTTTCTGATTTGGGATCCATAAATCTCAATAAAATGTATAGGTTTTTGGCAATATTAATCTTTAAAATTCTTTGGGTCGTTGTATGTATGTATCCAACATTTCATAGCTTTTTCACAAGTCCACAATGCATTGTAAAATGCCTATGTTTTCCACATTTCCCGCACTGACTTAACCTACCTTTATACATTTTTGATAATTTTTCTGGCATCATGTACCAATGATACATTTTATGTAAAATATTCTCATAAAATATAACCCAATGTAAATTGTATTTATCCACATTTTTGCTGTGTATCCTTCTACATACTATAGCCAAAATTGCTAGCCCATTTTATAACTGTTTAACTTGTTCTTCAGTTTCAAAAGTAAATAAAAGCGTATACCTTTTTGCAAATGCACAATTATCATTTGTACAATACTCACTTACAAATTCCATTGTAGGTTTTCAATTCAGTTACATGTATATATTAAATCATTCTTTTAATTATGAGAACCATTGAAAACAATATCCCTCTACAGTCAGTTGTTCTCTTGACTTAAATTTAAGTTCTCCATCTTTCTGTATTAGTAAATCCTGATATGTCTCTCATTTCTCTCTCTCTCTCTGGTTCCTCGTTTTTAAAATACTTCCAGTGGTAAGATCAATAAAAGTATTTTCAGGCAGTCTGGATTTGTATTTGTATGGCACTTCTCACATACTGTAATGATTTTTAAAATCCACCTTAAATTTTACTTTATTGTGCCATAAACATCCATGCCAATTAAACCTCAGGTTACATCCTTTCAATTCTAGCATTCTTCTATTTCTCAGCAATACCCAATCTTTCATCCAAACTAAACAGTTGGCTACAAAATACAGTTTAAAGTCAGGTAAGCCTAGTTCTCCCCTATCTTTTGCATTGAAAACATTGTTTTTTATATTTTATATTGAAACATTGTTTTTTTCCCTTATCACACAAATAAAATTTTTGCCATTGTTTAAATGTTGCCTCACTTTTAAAAACTGGTATTGTTTGAAATAAAAACACATCATTCTAGGCAATACATTCATTTTTATGACAGAAATTCTATCAAGTGATGATATTGCATTTTCCCCAATCTTAATAAATTTTAATTATGTAAATTCCATACCTTTACATAATTATTCTGAAATAACGTATAGTTCCTATTCAATATAGTAGTGTCCAAATATTTAACTATTTTTTCAAACTGTAAACCAGTATTCCCAGTCGATTCTGTTTGATCTTATGTACTCATAATTTTGTTAATAGTTTATTTTTTCTCATTATTAATTTTAAATGCAGCTTTGTAGAAGCTTAATTTGTTGTTTTTGTTTCCGGGGAACATTTTAATTTATCTCCCTTGATCTGTGTTTGTGCTGATTTTTTTTTGCATATTTTGCCGTCTTCTGGTTTTTTTTAATTCAGAATTCTATAATATAAATTGAGTTCTCAAAAATAGATTACTTGTATCCTAAACTATCTTTATTTTTGTTTCTTTACTTGGATTGTTTTTGAAGAATTCCTTCAATTATTTTTACTGTTCTCAGTAATTGATTTTTCTGTAATATAGTTTCCTTTAATCTCCATCTATATGTTTTTTATTTTTTTCTAGCATATCATAGTCACTGGATAACGATCTGAGCATGTTTTTATAATATCTCTACTTGGCTAGTATATGTAGATTGCTTTTTTGAGATCCATAACATATCTAAAAAAAGAACTATGTCTTTCAGAAAAGTATACGTGTACAGATAGTCCTCAACTTACAACCACAATTGAGCCCAAAATTTCTGTTGTTAAGTGAAACATTTGTTAAATGAGTTTTGCCCCATTTTATGATCTTTCTTGCCACAATTGTTAAGTGAATCACTGAAGTTGATAAGTTAATAACCTAGTTGTTAAGTGAATCTGGCTTCCCCATTGACTTTGCCTGTGAGAAGATCATAAAAGGTAGTCACATGACCTTGGGACACAGCAACGGTCATAAATATGAATCAGTTGCCAAGCATCTGAATTTTGATCACAAAGGTAACTGTGAAAAACAGTCCTAAGTCACATTTTTCAGTGCCGTAGTAACTTTGAATGGTCACTAAATGAACTGTTGTAAGTTGAGGACTACCTGTATATTTCTTGGAATTTCTGTTTACTGATCTCCAAATAGGCACAGTCACTTAACTGCCCTTTTCGCCACTCAGCAGCATTTAGGGCTGTTTGCAGCATCCCATGGTCATGGTCATTTATTTTTACTACGGTTTTGTTGAAAACTGGCATTTTGGGGGGGGGAGGTTCAGCAAAACTATACCCATAGCAGACCATGCTTAATGACAGCGGTGGTCACGTTACAATGATGGCGGTTGCTTTACAACCTCCCCAAAAATAGTTATTTAATCTGGTCAGTCAGGTGGGTGATCCGATTGATGATCAGCATGAGTTACTACCATGATGGGCAGGCTCTCTTAGGATCGCTAATCTATCTGCATTCTAGATTTGGATGACTCTAGTCCTGTGGCATCTAATCTTTGCTGGGCTGGTCTCTTGATCTTTCTGTTGCCACAACTCCTCATTGTAACTGTAGTTTTTCAGACCTTTTACCCTTTTAACAGATAAACTTTCCCAATTCCTCCAACATTTTTGTAAAGTGTCTTGAATAATTCATTGTTTGGTCTATTGATGTTCTGTCAAAGTTTTCCTTCCTGATGTAATCACTTCTGTAGTTTTTGGTGAAAGGAGAAATTGTAAAAAGAGTCACAATTTTATTCTCAAATGTTATATATTTATGGTATTCCAAAACATTTTGTAATTTCCTGTTTCATTTTTCTATCAATCAATCTATCAGTCAATCCTTTTTCTCAACAATCCAAAACAACATTTTTTTTCTCCCAAAGATATGTCTGTTTATTTACTGTGGCTCCTTTTACTTGTTTAATTAGCAGAAGCCTCAAATTCAGCTGGTAAATTAGTCTGTTTTTAACTTGCTTAATCCAAAGTCTCAGACAGTTTTCTGATTTAAAATTTCTTTTCTTACTATTTTTAGCTCTTGACTTTTATTTCTTTTGTTGGGTTAAAGACTGGGATTAGCCTCTCTGTTGAACCAAAGGACTCTTTTGCCAATAGGTGGCAAAACACACAAAGTGCTTAAATAGACCCGGTGAGTCCAAATGTCTTTTAAAATCTCCAACTGAGGTTTGTAGCTTGTTCTTTCCCACAGCTCCTGGTGCTATGTATGAGAGGCACTGGAAGCATTCCTTTGTATGCTGCTAGCCTTTTCTCAAGGAGCAACCTTCCCAAGCACAGACAGGCATTTTCTCCAGGCAAATGCCATTTGCTCAGGTGTGAAACTCAGTTGCTGGCTAG